TAATAACAATTTTTTTAGTTTTATAATGTCACCTCCATTGACCGTAAAAGTTTTCGAAAAGACCTTGAAAAGGCCCGCGGACCACTTGTTGATAATCACAGCTGAAGCTTGTTTTGCGGCTCTGGACACATTTTATTAATGAGACTAGGAGCAGAAATGGCTCTTTTGATTGTAAAGGTTGCAGACCCCTGGTTTGGATAGATTAAAACATAAAGTCATCATTTAAAAACTGATTTTTTTGTATTAGGTTATTATCTTAACTAACGTTTGATGATCGGAATAAGCGTGACAAAAAGGCAAAAACAGAATAAATCTGTCAGAGTTGAATACTTTTTCACAGCACCGTAGGTCATCAGTATGCATTACGAACCAGATTTGTTTCCAGTCGTTACCCTTCTGCTTTTTGTGAGAAAGAAGACACGATGTCCACTCCTTGCCTGAAATGAAGTATTGTTCTAAATTGAACATCCTGCTAAGAAATGCATGGACTGATTTGTTAATTCTCCCAATTTTTTTTTTTTTAGCTCTCTGACCTCCTCCTGTTAAACTCTCGTCTCGCTTCGAGCACGACGGGTCTTTCTCACCGCCATCATCTCTCTCGCTCTCTCTGTAACATCCTCCACCTCTCTATCCTCCTGCTTCTCCTCCGCACCACTCTTCTCCCCGTCTCGCTTTGGGTGGGACTCTTTGTGGGCACAGGCTGCCAGTCAGCAGGAAGCCGCAGGATTCTCCCCGACCGTCTCCTTCTCCCTCTCGGGGATGGTGCCGAGGGGTCCTGCCGCCCTCTGCTGCTGGCTCTGGGACTGATTCTGGGGCAAGGGCGGGGGCTGGGGGTAGGCCGGCGGCTTCAAAACGTTTTGGACGGGAGGGAGAGTTTGTGGCAAGGCGTATTGCTGTGGGTGGGGGTGCAGGTAAACCTGAGGTGCGGTTTGGGACTGGTGGAGCGGCGGGGGCTGCGGGTGGGGCTTGGCCTGAGGCTGTTGCTGCACTTGTGGCGGCTGGTGGTGAGGATGATGCTGAAGCTGCGGAGACGCGGCTCCGTTTTTACTGAGGCCGCAGGACTGAGCTGCACAGTGGATCTGACGCAAAGTGTCCAGCGCCTCGCTCTTTGCGTGCTTCAGCAAGTCGGCCTGGCCCTGAGGGGGAGATTTAAGGAAGAGATAAAGAAACATTTGTTAATATTGCTGATTCAGCATTTCCTGTATATGCTTTTTAWTCTAACTACCTACTTTGTGTTACTGTGGTTATTCCTTTTGTAACGGTTCATTTTGGCACTTATTTAAAAACAAACAAATATTTAACTTTATTTACAAATATTTAACTCATATTAATACATTACAATTTTCCCGATCAGTCCCTTAAAAAATAGATCTTTATGAAATAGTTTTCAGCATAYTTGCTATGTTTTTGTTGTCCGATGATCCTTTTAATATTCAGCTACCATTTAGCTACTTTTAGCTTTTAGCTACTATGCTGCAATTTTTACTTTTAGCTAGCCTTTTGCTACTTTTAGCTTTTAGCCAATCCTGTGCCGCTATTGGCTAGAGTTTTAATACTTTAAGCTTGCAGTTACCCTTTTGTTACTTATTGTTTTTAGTATTTTGGTCATTTTTAGCAAGCCTTTTGCTACATTTAGCTTTCATCTAGCCTATATGTATTTTTACTTTATTTTTCGATGCAGAAATTAAAGAATGAACCACCTAACAATAAAAAACTTTGAATCATTTGGATGGTACATGTGGTCAAAGTAGTTTTCATGTAATAACAAAGATTGAACAGAAGAGAGCAGTATAAGTCCAGTGCTTCTGGTTTGCAGCTCCTCTCTGCTGGAGAACAGTGCTGTCATATGGTGGTAATGTTACTGCTCTTTATTTGAGCAGCCAGAGGTGAGTCCCTGCCATAAGGGGAGGAAGTGGTCAGAACAGACATCCTGTGTTTCCAGCACGGTTAAATAAATCTGGGACCTGCCAGCCTGRGATTTTTATATCTGCCGTGTGGAAATGAGGTGAAGCTTTCTCTACAGGATATTGTTGCTGTGTGGAAAACACATGTATATTATTATCCCCCACTTCCAACACAAAACATCCCTAACTCAGACATCTTTACAGATAAAGCTAAAACTTCAGGTGAGATTTCAAAATATCGCATGATAAGGTCATTTATGAGTTTTGACCAAAAGCGCTAGCTTGTCCTTCGCTTTGCTTCGTACGAGGGTCTGGACTCTCAGCTATAGAGAAGCGATTCTTGCTGGAGGCGTGGCCTYTGGTGAAGTTTAAAATGATTGGATCGGTTGGCCGTGACATATGTGTGCCAGCTCCACTGTGAAGGAGGCGAAGCTAAGAAGCTAACTGGAAGTCACATGCGCTGTAAACAACCCTACTGAGAGGAGAAAAGTACCGAGCCGAACGAGACGACTGTAAATGAGAGCTGCTGCTTTGTCAGACAAATTTAATTTAATTTGGAAGCCTTATCAACACGGAATGGCTTCATGCTCTTCCTTCACTGCCGTATGCTAAACTAACTAGCAGACACTGCGCAGAAAATCGACGTCATCATTCAAAACTCCGCCTTCTGTTCTCTGATTGGCCCGGACGGAAATTCTCCTGTAGAAATCCTTGTCTGTGGGAGAAATCCCAGATGGAGCAGTGAAGGGAAACTAGAACTGAGCGGAACTGCGTAGGAAGGCTACAAAAGAGCATTTTCAGCATAAAATGATTTCATTTTTAAAAGTTTGGTAAGAAAGGTGGCAGGCAATAAGCATTCTTTAAGAAAAACTGGGCTTGTTTTACAGAAGGAGCATAATTTGTGAAACTCTTTCTACGTTTCTTTCCCTTAGAACCCAAAATCTATATGTTTTTTATTCTTTTGAGGCCTCAACAATGTTCTCTTCTCCAAAGAACCCTCTGAAGCTTCTCATCTGTGCTTCTGCAAATATTCCCTCACTAAGAAGCCCCCGTCTATCAGACCCACTGACAGCTCGTTGGACTAACATCACCGCGAAGCGACACAGGCTTACCTGCCGTGCGCAACAATGACAGGTAAACGATGAAAGGGATGAAGTTCCCATTGTGCACTCGGCACACACACAGCAGTCTGACATACTGCGGGAAGAGTAAAGGTACTAACCTGCTCCCCAAAGCCTGACATTCTACACACAGGTGATGCTAATCTGCAGCAAGTGGCCTTTTATCCAAACCGTTCCAGCACTGAAACCAGCAGCATGAATAAGTCATGGGTTTGAGAAAAAAACGCTGAAATTATGTAAGTCATGACTCACCAGGCATAAAATAAGAAAGCGAGATGCTGGTTCTGAGCTGTAACAAGCAAAGCGAACGTATAGTAGRTGCATTCATTCCTACAGCGGGGCAAAA